CATGATCATTGTTAAAAGAGTTACATACTAGACTGAAAACTCTTTTGGCAGATAAATTGAAGTTACCAAGATTTCACCTATTGAGTAATTAAGCCTTATCCAGTATCATAATACTGTGATGAAATATTGCAATTGTCATAGAAACTGATTTCGTTAATACGCCTTTATTGGTTATTCCACAATGATGATTTAGGGAAATGGCTAGCACTTAGATGACTTATACTAAAGGATTTATCTTCATCTTTCAGTATTACTTTTCTTCAGGATGCTAAACATCGATGAAGATTGATAAATACTGTAAATCACTAATATTTCGCGTGGTATTTATTTTCGCGTTTATTCGCAAGGAGAGCCAAAATTGAATGCAAATCTCTTGCGATTATTTGTTTGAATCTGTTGGTGACGTCCTTATTCTTCCGCCGTTAACTTAATTTTACTTCCGTTTACAATTCCGTTGAATCTATAGATACCTTATCATATCACCACAAACATATATGGTAGACATATATTACTTTCAAGTCACAAAATGGCGTCATTCAAATGTACAGTTATAGGTCAGATGTCTGGCGCGTGTGCCACAATAGATATAATTGTAAATTCCCGATGCTAAAGGTGCTAAAATATTTACAATGCCAGAGATTAAAATGCAAAATATATTTTATTAAAGTACAAAATAAATAATAGGAAAACTTTCAAATCGTTACCGCTTGGACTACTACTGTTTACGTTAAACACTGCACAATACAGTGTGGCCTATTGAAGTCCTGTTATCTTACCCTGAAACAATTCACTTCAAACATGATCTTGCCTGTAATCCGATATATACTGTCCAGTATGGACACAACATGTATCACGTGACTTAATCACTTTTCAGGTACAGTCACATGATTCTCAAACGTAAAATGGCGGCCAACATGAAGTTCTTGGTTGCTGATATAGGAGTTCACCAAAGTCTGTCTCTAATAGCTAATCATTTGAAAATTCAACATCATTTCTAGATCAACGTTTGGAACATAATAAAATAATAATAAAACGAATACGTCTGCAAATCAGAGTTCTCGAAATAAAGTATTCGCGAAATCTACGTGATTTGCAGTAGTTGCCAATGGCTACAGCACATTGCTAATATTTGGTGTCACACTTGTTACACTATTTTGGACCTAGGTATACATAGAATTATCGTAAAGCCGAAAAAGTTGGTCGATTCCGTACCATCTCGTGCACTACAAAAGCCAGTGCTAGTATGCTTCACACTGGTCATTTGCCTAACAAAGGTGATCGTGTAATGATTGAAACGTCAAACTCAATCTTCTACTGGGTTTGAGATAAGAACAATTATTCCATTATCACAACAAACTGGAAGAAAATGTTCCAAAAATATTAAGTGTTCTTTGTAACTTTGTAACAATTCTTTATAACTCCAAAATATCAAACTCTCTTGAAGTATTTTCATGAACAGAAAACAATGATTCGAGGCGTGTTAGTATTGATTTTAGAACAACCTTACTTCCATTCAATATATATCTAGAAATGTCTAAATTCTGTGGATTAATTTTCATTCATCGATAACTATTTCATTATAAGTGAAAATTAACATTCAGAAACACCTGTTGCTATCAATCACATTACATAGGTTCAGGAAATAAAAGAAAGAGGTTCAGCTGTTCGATAGAGGAAATTAGTATAATTTGAAATGAATTTTATGGTGATACATTTGGAAGGAAAGTCCTAAAAAAGCCCATTTGATATATTCCCGTTTGCTTACCTGAAATCAAAAGGTCATATAAAATTTCACATGATTACAGCTATTTAGATAGATCATTTGCAGGCATTTCCATAATAGGTTGCACAAAATGAACGTTCTTAATTGATTAAAGTAGACAATTATTTGTTTATCAATTTTTGTATTTGAAAAAGTAGCTCAATACCAATAAATTTTAATCATTTACATATCGCATGGGATTTATTTTCACGTTAATACGAAAAAATAGTTTATCGTGAACAAAAATATCTCGCGATTATTTGTACAGAAATGATTCTTGATGACATCCATGCTGATTCGGCTACCGATGTTTAGATCACCGTTGAAGAGGTTAGTTCGCGAAACAAAGTATTCACGAAATCTAAGTGACTTACAGTATATCCGCAATGGATGGGCGTCAGCTTGCATATATGGACATGACATGTTTAGATATGTGAAATAATATTCACACAGTATGTATATATATATATATGTAGGTATTACATCTAAGCGTTAGACTTGCCTGTCAACATTAAAGGTGACATCCGGTGTCGACATCCACGCAAGCACCTGCACCTGCTGTCACACTGATTACACCACTTATATTTGTCGTATACATAGTTCAGTTATTACACATATCCTGGTTGAATTATCAAAGTGTGTATTCATAACGCTATGACCTACCATAACATTCACGACCTTACATCTAAGTTGTCCGGCAACATCACACATTGATATCCTATAAATAGTGTGTCTATATATATGAAAATAACGAAATCTATTTAATTAGAGGGCTGCTGCACCTTCCTGTCTAAATTTGGACTTTTTTCGATCACTTTGAATTTTCCTCAGTCTCCTCCTCATCTTCAAAATTTAGTCCTTAACATCCCTGACGAGTCCTAGAAGGACGAAACAGCTGTATGATGCAGTTCAATTCATTGTCTGGCTCTGCTGTATCTAATTCTAAATTATTGAAGGTGCTATTCATTTCTGTGTTTTTTTGTACAATCTCTATATATTACACTGGACCGGACGTGCCTGGTAATGACGTAACCAAACTCATTTAATTAACACAAACAGATATGATGTTTCCTGGTTTATAAATACTATTATATCGTTTATAGCGTAGATACGAGACATGAAATAAACATACAATAGATTTCATATTAAAATTTTGCGGGAAATGCTACATTCATTTGTTACTTTTTGCGAAGCTGAACGTGTTTGATGCCCGTTAGTTCGCATAATGGTTCCTTTGTTGTATACCTTGTTTGAGAGTATGACATTACTTAATTGTATCGACCATAACTTACGTGGATTGGGTCATCGATGAAGCAGCAGGTACTTTCGTCAAAGGAGGAAAAATGTGTATTGAAAACGCGATCAGATCTTGGCTTCAATACCAAGCATAGATACAACTTATTCCCTTGTGTTATTATCTATGTAAACAATAAGCAAAAGTATAAAAATGCTGATATTTATCATAAAGACGATAATTAAACTGGTCACAAAATGTTAGTATGTTTAAATGCCAGCACCCCTTTTCTTACAATGTGAACAATTCATCTATTCCTTTAAGTGATTCAATTAGAGCTAAATAATGTTAGTTTGCCTGTTGGTGTCGTCGTTTTATACCTTGTTCTCATTTAAGAATATGACATTAGTCACTTGGATCGTCAATAAAGCAGAAGACGCTTACTCTTCAAGAACACTTCGTCTTATTTTCCTTGTACTTTTTCAGGAGTCTCCGTGTAAATATTTCATTTGTTTGTATCTTGCGATAGTTTTATTGAGTTTAAGTTTGGATTATGGTAATGTTGACATGTTGATATTTTCTTGTTTTGTTTAACACATTTGTTTTTTATACGTACTGAAACAGGACATGCTTAAAATTCATTATGAAAATGCGACAGAAGAATGTAGACATATGTCATTACTCCTATTTTTGCATGATTTCTAGACATAGAGTAACGTAAAACATTAAAGGCTAAAAACGATAAGATCATGTACCTTTAATGTCCTATCTGGTCGATTCTTGTTTTAATTTTTGTTTCAACGAATTATTGCTTTCGTTGTTATATTGAAGCTAGAAAAATCTCAGTCTGACCGATGGTGGTCTAGACAAACAAGCGTCAGTAAAACTGGCTGTTGTTGATCTTTGTTTGACGTAAAAACACTGCATCTCAACATACTCTTGCAGTTTACTTTTATCATACATATGTACATTATAATTATTGTCATTAATATCATTTCGTGATTTTAAATAAGGCTATGAATATTGAAATTGACATTTACATACAGAATTAGCTATGACGAGTTATTTACGAAAAAATAGGACGTAATAGATTACTATTATCACAATATCTGACACCATTGACATCTGACATAGAATCACTGGGTGTAATATATATAGTAATATGCATGTGCAGTAATATGCATGTGCATTAATTGCATATTTGTGTATATTCGTCGTTAAATAAATATTCTCGGGGAAAAATGATTCGTATAAATCTTATTAAACATTCCTGATGATTCATATGAACTTTTTGCATGTCATTGAATACGTGTTAGAGGCCTTACGCAAAAATACACGAACTTCAGTATAGGAAAAGGTATATATATAGAGAGAAAGTAGTAGGCCGACTTGGCACAAGGCGAAAGCTGGTGCCAGAATGTTTAAAATGACAACCAATTTATTTGAATGATAACTTTTGTAAACAATGAAGACAGTTTTGCGGTTTCTACATTTAAATAAGATGTCATAATTTATTTAGCATAAACGTTGATTAACGTTTTATCAATATATGCTGACGTTAACAAAAATCAAAATTACATTTCGAGCTAATTGATTTATAATTTGTAGAACATGGTCCACCGAAAAAAAGTCTGAAGGATTTAGCAAATGGCACACACCTTTTCAATTTCATTATAGACACAGCACATGCAAAAATCATTATGTATAACGTACCATACAGCTGTTTCCTATGACAGGACAGTGATGTTAGGTGTTAGGGGTGTACGGAAAAAAACTAGATGGCTACAGTACGGTCCGACAATAAACTGAATCCTGTTCAAATACTGATAGGGTAGAATACCCTCTTCATGATCTAATAAATAAAAAACTATAATCTTTAATACTAAAAGAAATTACATGACAATTATTGTTCCTTCTTTGCCAATATTGAAAGTATTGTTTTATATTGAAGACCATTAATATTATTTCGTAACTGGTAATTTGTTACAGATACGTGTGTGCATCATGGCTGTTCTATCAGTATCGTTGTTGGTAGTTATCTTAGTGATGTGCTCCAAAATGGCGGCCTCTCAGGTATTGTCATCTGTTCCTAATAACGTGATATCAGCCACACGGATTAGGGGTCCGTTAAACTCCCAGGCGACGGACAAAAAGAGACGTAAGTCTCCGTTATGTTTTAATACAATATTTCAAAACTTGAAATCTGGCAATGAAAATATTGACATTAAAATAGATTCCGCAAAGTGAAGAATAAAGATAAATAAATAAATAAATAAATGATAACTATTAACTTATTTTTGGAATATCATAATCACTGTCTTGTGCTACGTTTTGTGACAAATATATAACATTTATTCTACTAACACGTGAGATACATGTTCTATATTTCAGTTGGGTGCGTTCTACAACCAGTTCCCAATGCAATTAATAAGTACCGAGTGCACTTATTCTCACTCGGAACATCCTTGGATTTCTATTGTGCACAAGGAACTATATTTTACCCAGAAAAATGCGCCTGTGATTGGCCCAAAGACAGAAACAGTAAGTAACCTATCCTCGTTTTATTATTTGGTTTGTGGTCGGCGTTGATCGACGCCCAGTCACTACTTGCTACACAATGACCTGGAGAGTTCTCGCGTGTTAATGGGGGAAAAGCGTTGTATAGATAGATTATACGTTACAAGTGAACGCCCATACTATAATTCTACATTCTAATTATTTATTCAATTATGCATGTTTCTTCCCGGAGATATTACTACACCGGAATGTTGAATTACGAATAATTATCATATCTGTTGAATTATTGCATGGATTGATTTTATAAAGCATAATACAACTTTAAGTAACCTGACTTCTACGCGGAAGTATATTCTTATGCAAGTTACTGTAAGCAATTTGTGAATTAAATCCATCAGATTTATTTGAAAGTGTGTTAGAAAACACAATATTGTATCAAGCTGCTGATACGTTAAGCACGAAATTTGCCTAAATAATTAAAATTGAAATTATTCTTTTCGATAAGGTGAAAATTGGTTTTGAGAGGATAATTGATCAATGCGCAAACTGACGTATAGGAGTAATTATCTCATGTCGTTTTCTCACATATATTGTAGGCAGGAGATGTCTTGAAAACAAATTATACATCTTGAAATAAATAACAAAGATTACAACAAACATAAAATTAAATGCAGAGTTATGAAATTAGTTTTATAGTCTATTCTTAATTTCCTGTCGTCACTCATTGTTGTGACGGACTCATATCTCTAGTGTGTTATTAGACAGTCATTGCATGCATATCCATCCGCGAGGTTGAAGTTCACAATTCATTCATTGATTTACTGTTCCTAATTTTCATGGAACAACAAACGTATGTAACGCAAAAAATATTTCCATTGAAACACAGATTAACTAGATAATAATCACAATTATAAATGTGTTTTTCAAGTAGTGATGTAACAATATGCGACAGACAGCCTTGTTAAGGAGAAAGAGATTTTTGTGCGTGCTTAAGCGGCTACAATTGGGAATGTTGTATAATGTATATGTATGTTGCATGACGTACGTCATCGTTATATAAACAGCTCCAACAGTTTGTGATATTATAATGAACAAACATTATCAGTCTTACTAAAATATACTGTCACACGTCTTTTCTTACAACGGTGTGAGTGGCTTTCGTTACGTCAGCCTGTGTGATTGGTTGTTTAACTGAGAATTTTTTTACTTTAATTGTACCTGTGATTAAGTATTTCATATATTAAGTACCTTTGATTGAAAAATCGTTACAATTTTTTGTATGTGTAATGCATACAGTAATATCATGCGTGAGATTTTCAATCCAATTGGGAACTAGGGTGGTCACTGTATATTCTTCTCTGTGTATGGAACGTCCAGAAATCCTGTTAATATTACATGTTGAAGATACGTCGTAATTTCCACTGATAAACGCGTACAGCGTATCACATTCCTTTATTTACACCGACATATGGGCTGTGTATAATACCTGTAATTATATCGGTAGGAAATGCTTATCACTAACCAGGTCAGTCAGGTGTGAATGTCCACTAGCGTAATGCAAAATGACACTTTAACGTCCATACATACGATATTTTATTAATATATACACGTCGGTCAATTATAGCATGCCTCAATGAACACAGACAAACAATACGTGATGGATAGTTCGGTGAAGCGTGAAAATTTGTTCTGCAGTGTATATTGTACATACCTTGACAGATTCCTGATCTATCTCTCAGGATAATACATAACTATATGTTATATTTGAGCGTTTTATTAACATGTTATATCGATTAATTAGTTATATCTATACCTTTGTGATGCCTCCTATATAATTACGACATTTTAGCACGTCTTTACACTGACAGACTTATTACCTAATATTAATAATAAAAAAATACAGTATTTCGTTATTACACGCATTTGTATCAGTATAATTTTTATTGAATAGGAATGATTTGATAAGTCAGAAGGATAATTTAAGGTATAGGTACAGTACTTCTTACAATCGTTATGGACAGTCTTTTCTTCTTTTTCGTGGGCGTAGTTTTGCAGGTTTTTAGCGTTCAGAATTCGGACGTTTGTTCGGCAGTGAAGTGTTCACGTGAAACATGTTTTCTTATTTATGCAATCATTATCGTTATTATTTTTTAGTAAATCCTCAACGTTAATCTAGGAAATTGGAGGTATTGGCCAATATATAGTTAATTTTAAGATTGCACAGATTAAAAAGACAGAGAATAGCCAGATGCATGAAATAGTCAGACAGAATAACTGGGTCTCAGCACATATATAGGTACTTAATACTCTAGGTGTCAGATATATGGAAATTACAAAATTTATTTACGACACTTTACTTTTGATTTTCCTCAGTCGCTTCAAAATTAAGGTTCCTTAAAGCATCACCAGCAAGCCCTCGCATGACAAAACAACTGTAGGGTGCAGCTGAAATCATTAATTGGCTCTAATTATCTGACCCTCAATTTGTATTTAAAGGTGATATTCGTATGTCTATTGTACCACCCATCAGTGACAGGGGCTTTATAGATGTCTAATCTATTTGTTAAGAACTGGAGATATGTTTTCGTGTGACATGATTAAATACGTAAAATAGATTTCATGTTTTATAGATGTCCAATATATGTATTATATGGTTGTTCTGTGTAATTATATACTGTCCTTGACATATGAGATAACATTACTTACGTCAGTTCTATCATGTTTATTTCGCCGTGCCGTATTTGTAAAGTCCCTAATGCATACTTGCCTGCACGCGCCGGCTATAAATAGTATTTACATGGATAGAGCTAAAAGCTGTCATTCTTTTTAAGAGTCATTTCAATCCGTGTAATTCTCCATACCCAAATTAAACTTAACAAGCCTCTATCGATCTACATTCCAGTTCTTGTTTACATATTTCTTACATACCTCATCGTTTTCACATTCGTTGTATCAAATTTCTGACCAAATGAGTAACTGCATTGTGCATCATCTATTGTCTGTAGTATCATCTATTGTCTGTAGTATCATCTATTGTCTGTAGTATCATCTATTGTCTGTAGTATCATCTATTGTCTGTAGTACCATCTATTGCCTGTAGTATCATCTGTTGTCTGTAGTATCATCTATCGTCTGTAGTATCATCTACTGTCTGTAGTATCATCTACTGTCTGTAGTATCATCTATTGTCTGTAGTATCATCTACTGTCTGTAGTATCATCTATCGTCTGTAGTAATATATATCGTCTGTAGTATCATCTATTGTCTGTACTACCATCTATTGCCTGTAGTATCATCTGTTGTCTGTAGTATCATCTATCGTCTGTAGTATCATCTACTGTCTGTAGTATCATCTATCGTCTGTAGTAATATATATCGTCTGTAGTATCATCTATTGTCTGTAGTAACATCTATTGTCTGTAGTAATATATATCGTCTGTAGTATCATCTATTGACTGATCGTCTGTAGTAACATCTATTGTCTGTAGTATCATCTATTGTCTGTAGTATCATCTATTGTCTGTAGTAATATCTATCGTCTGTAGTAATATCTATCGTCTGTAGTATCCTCTATCGTCTGTAGTAATATCTATCGTCTGTAGTAATATCTATCGTCTGTAGTATCATCTATTGTCTGTAGTATCATCTATTGACTGATCGTCTGTAGTATCATCTATCGTCTGTAGTATCATCTATTGCCTGTAGTATCATCTATTGACTGTAGTATCATCTATTGTCTGTAGTATCATCTATTGTCTGTAGTAATATCTATCGTCTGTAGTAATATCTATCGTCTGTAGTAACATTTATTGTCTGTAGTATCATTTATTGACTGATCGTCTGTAGTGTCATTTGTTGACTGATCGTCTCTAGTATCATCTCTCGACTGATCTTCTTTTTGTATAATAAGATAAAATATCACTGACCATGTAAATAGGATTGGCTATTTCCTACACTGATATAGTAGCAGATTATTTGGAATTGTGAGAACATTTTAAATTCATCTGAATAACACGAGAGGATAGTTTCTCTGTCGCCCCTAGGGAACACAGATAACACGTGCAATGAAGCTGACCACACTATAATAACGTCAACATTTTATATCGCGTGACCATACCACAAATTGTTTACGTCATCATTTTCGAGTTACATTTTATGGGATATCGATGATGGCGTGATGCATGGGTTCACAATTTATAATTTTTTTTATTGCTTTTTAAGTGCTTGAGAAAAATTATCAAACAAAACTCTGTTCGACGGACTGGGATTTATCAACTCCTTGTCAGAATTTTGCTGGTCAGTACTCGGCAAACCTTATAAGCAAAATTCTTACAGTCTGGTTGAGATCGTCATTGCCCATGGGATTGGCCCCTGTAAGATTTTTATGTGGTGTTTTTTATTCGTGATCGTTAAAAGATAATATCTCTTAAATACAGCTGGTCATATATTGGGCGGTAGAGATAACTTTTGTCAGAATAATATGTACATGAAATCAATATTATACAAGTAAAGGCAGGTAACTCCATCTTTTCCGTATAATTCACAGTGGTGTTACCAGCAGTTCCAACAACTTTACGACCTCAGACGCGACCGTTTCCAGACCGCACTGTCCGACCTGGACGAAGGCCAGTCATAGACAATGTTCGCCCTCTGATGACAACAACGCCAGAACGTAAGTAAACTTCGGATGGAACTGAAAATATTTCTCCTTAAGTATGCCTAATTCAAACACATATCAGACTTTTAAAAATGTGTTGCGTTTCTTTCCTTTTTAATGTGTAGCAATTACTTGGAAATTGTCGTAAGATATAAACGGAGTACAAATCTGCAAGAACCATGAACCACATACATTTGTATGTGGAAATTTGATGTCTTACTGATAACATCCTAATTGATAAGTTCAATATTCTGACAACATTACTTATACAGCTAACACTGAAAATTCATTTTGTGCAACTGATTGACAAACTCATAAGTTTCAAAAGATGCAAGTTGATGAAAATTATGGGAAAAGTTTATAGTCGCCATAGTGATCTAGTTGAAAAATATTCTATTTCTTTGTGTGATGTGAAGCTTGGGCCTGTTGGTTCCGTTGTTATATAAATTGTTCTCATTTGAGAATGTGGCATTACTTACTTGGATTGACCAATGTTCACATGACGTTTACTCTTCCGTAACACCTGGTCTTATTCCCCTCGTACTTTTTCAGGAGTTTTTTTTGTGTAATTCTTTCTTTTGAACACACTTTGCCCTAATTCTATTGAATTTGAGTTTGGGTTATTATTTGGTTGACGTGTTAGTATTTTCTTGATTTTTTTTTCTGAAATCATTTGTCATTGAAAGTTACTTTGCCTTTGCATAACTTAAAAGATCATGCTTAAGGCATTTTTTTCTCTTGATATGCATTGATGCATGTGCCAAGGGTTGCCTAAAGTTGCTTCCGTTAAGAATTGAGGTAGACATACAAAATTACAAAATAACACACAAGAACTGCCCGGATGTGATTACCATAATAATAAAATCGTAACAATGATTTGTTTCTGTTCAACCTGAAATAGTTTTAACAACGTGTTCTATTGTCTTACTTATTGTAGCATGTCGATTTCGTCCCGACCCGGACAGAAACTTCTACCAAGAATTTGTGATTGGATTTGGGTGGAGCAAACGTCCATGTCCTATTGGCACCTTATACAGAGAGGAGACTTGTAAATGTGATGATATAGCTCCTGTGTCAAGCTTACGTACGTAAAACATTATCTCTATATTTCTTTATGTTGATACATATTAAACAAAGAATCGTTTATACAGATAAATGTTTTCCTAACTGATCCCATGATTTAAAGAAAAATAGTTTATGGCATATTCGTTGAAATGATTGATACTCAGACTGTCTCATGAAATTCATTGAATATAAAAAAAAGAGAGAAAAGGAAATTAGAACTTTTAAAAAGAAATTTAAATAGTTTGATTTTTCATTACGCAATTACCTAAAGAAGACCTATTTAATCCTCTGTCAAATTATATTACCGTCTATCGTTGATCGATTACAGGATCTACATGTCATCTAGCTTAGACGTACCTATGTTACGATATGCAATCATCTTCTCTAACTTATCATATGTAGCGATAACTTTACAATATGCGATAACATTATGTAAAGTTTCGATTTTACAAAAACTCAAATGTTCAAACACATTTTAAGTGATATTCAATTTCTTTTGATATTACATATAAATTAAGACAGACTTGTCAAAATCAGATGATGGAGCAGGAATGTAAATAGTATAATTATTAATTTATCTCTATATACGGCTTTGTTGACTTCACAGAAATACTACTTGAATATTAAATACAGTATTTTACACCATGCAAACTGTAGTTGGTAACATTCCTACATTTTCTTTTCCCAGGATGTAGAGCTGAACTGTATGTCCCATTTGACGTAATGCCGATTGCCGATGGAGCTGGAACAAGCATTCCTATTGGAAACAATGGCAATGTGGACTCTGTAGCAAATGCTGGTCGGTTTGACGGCAGCGGTCGCCTAACAATCTGGATGTATTCAAACATGGATTTCGGTGAACAGCTGACGATCAACCTCAGGTTTTACGATTTTCCAGGAGGCCAAGAAGAACAAGTTTTAGTATCGAATTGTTTTGATAAGGAGCTAGGGTCAATTGAGATTGCTACCCGCCCCCGGAAAAAGGAAGTTATATTCAGAGGAAACACAGCAATGTCCGGACCAGTAGAAATAATACTACCTTACCAGGTAACACTACTTACAATTGAAATGGATGTATTTAAAATGCATATATATATGATTTAAATATAAATATTTATAACTTTATTTTAAATTACATATATGAAATTCACATTTGTTTTAATAATTCATAACTAGTATGTAAGACATAACGCTACTTTATTATCAAATAGCCTCAGTGTTAAGGATGTATTGCGTATTGTCTTATATATGTGTGGTATTCACATCATTAAAATACCTAATGCATATTTGGTTTTTGATTTCTAAAATGTATGCAGACAATTTTGATGTAAATATTCACCCTTTCGTTCCTACTACATAATTTCAGTAACGCTACATGTGTGATATTGATTGTTAGGTTCAAAGTCTACATACATATCATATAACTAAATCAATACGTATGTATAGTACTGAAATTGATATAGATCGGGTCTACAAAGTTATTATTTATTGAGAATCGATATTTACCTGTTTCAGAAAAAAGTAGCTATAGACAATTAGTTCTAGAAATTAACTTTAGAAAAACATGATTCTAGAAATCGATAGATGTTTGTCAGAAAATTTTATCGATCTGATTTATAAATTGATTGATTACTAATGACAAAAATAGATATAGACTGATTCTAGAAATATAAGAATTATTCTTTTTTAAAAAAAATGATATCGATCTGTTCAAGAAATTAATTGTTTATCAACAAATACTTTACTTTTAGTGTTTTGATAAAAGTAAATATTTTTACAGTATCATAGGTCAATGGATACTGAGTTTTCATTATAATTACACATATCATTACACGCAATCGGATATAATTTCTATTTAAGATAGTAATTCGATAAGTCAAAAACAAACATGAAAAGTATGTTCATTAATGCAAATGCAAATATGATTTCTGTTTTACTGTTTTCAGGAGAAGATGTGGAAGAATGTGACATATGCCTATGACGGGGCCACTCTGACCGGAAAGGTCAACGACGAAGAAAAATCTATTCCTCTGAGAGGTAGGTCATACAAGAAGGGTCATGTCGTTCAGATGATAAAGGTTGTACGTGTTTAAATCATTCAGAACCTGTCATGTGAGATGTATACATGCCTTATTATGGAAATATTAATCATATAACAAGCTCTAGTTAAGTGTTCCATGTAAATTATCATGTCAAATTTTAACATATTAATCTCGTCAGATGATATAATCAATTATATCGGTGAGACGTTAGTGTAATGAAATTTGAAATATCTATGGGTTAATTTTTAGAATCAGACGCACCACGAATATTAAGTTTATATACATATTTTTTTATCTCTAGGAAATCTCGATATTCGATTTAGTGGATTTGAAATAGGAATGTGCAACGGTCGTGGATATGTGGGATACGTGGATGAGGTGAGCTTTCTACACAGCATTATTTCTATATATGTTGTACTTAATAATGTAATTCATGTCTCCATTGTCATTCAAATTAATTCAAACTTTAATTGATAAAGTCATTCATGAAATAGATGTATAATTATATAGGTAATTTTAAGTATATGTAACAAGTGAATATATTTACCTTGCATTTAACATTTACTGAATGAAAGATTTTACCTACATCGTGTCTTTGAAGTTTTACTCTCTCTTTTGTAAAAGTATTTTTACGACAGCTCATTAGAAGTATACCGGGGTTAAATCCATCTCGATGGTAACACTTACATACTAAATGTACAGATTTACAATTAATTTATTTTCATCGTGGTTCTCATACGTTGCCATAGAAAACAACAATTTAGAAAAATTACTTTCAATGTGATGATTCTAATCACTTGCTGGTGATATGTAGAAAAATTAAAAAAAAAAATAAATAAATTGTGAATTCTTAAAGAAACATTAGAATTTGATGTTTGCTTGCTCAAAGACCTTGCCTTCTGACTCAGGTGGGATCCTTTCTAAAACTCAGAATTGGTGACGTATTTACGTGTTTATACAATTTGTTATGTTTATATTTCAGTTGAGAGTTTATCGATGTGTCAATCACTTTGGACTGACAAGACCAAATAGCAACTTTGGATTTACGAGACGGGTGGTGTAGCTCATCATACAGACTGATATGTCGCGGATTTTAATGTTCTTATATACCATGTCATAAATAAGAGACACGGAAACTGTATATATGTACAAAAGATAGTAGTACTCACGTGAATAATTTGATGTTTTTATTCTAAAGTAGAAAATCTTTAATAAAAAATATGTTATACAGAAGTAAATGATACCTGCCTGTGGAAACACTGATATAATTGGTAATACAGTAATATGTATTTTTTCCTAAACTGTACATTCTAGTCTCTATCGTTTGGTTTCACTATACAGTTAGCGGTTTAGTGGACATATTACCCGTTGTTAGATAGAATAGTCCCATCATCCCAGCCATCTTACAATTCTACCCCCGCGGATTGAAACAATGATTATCGAGAGATATCTTTGTGTGAAAGGACTTGATATTTCTAGGCCAGCGAAACGTCCAGTTGATAAGACGTTAAACTTCGTAATGAAAAATTGAAGGAGTTTACTTGTCAATCTGTCTTTCTCCACAAAACAAAAGGAATGAAGAGGTTGATACTTCATATAAATAACAGAGGAAGTTGTTTTATATTATAATTCATGTCTTAAACATCGAGTTTAATAGCCATACTATAGTATTATGAAAGGTCTCATTGAAAATGCACTTCGTATATATTTTCCTGTTTCTGAACAAAAATGCTATCAGGTAACGATGATTCGGTATTGTATTTGAATAACGAACATGGTAAATGTTTCCGTCACTAATTTCCCTGGTTAAAGCTGCTACACATCTCTGTTTAGTGGAATAAGAAACAAAGTGGTATTATCTTTTTTTCTAACAATCTATGTAAGGGAGATAACTATTCAGTAACTCAACCCTTTGCTTACCATGTTGACATGGTAACAAATTGTCGTTGTTTTAGTAATAGCGTAAATTATGTATGTTCCTGAATGCGATGCAAACAAATACATACATTATTATAACCATCCGAAAAGGAATCGTTATTTATAAACAACATTATTGTTAAACACACTTATATTTGAGTTATAAAGAAAACTTTATTACATTAAAGCTGAGGCGAATAAAAGATGATACAAGCTAGGGAAAACGTTATAATAAAGGTTCCAGTAAACTTAAAAAAATGTTTTTGATTTAAATCAGTCATTTGATAAATGCCAGATTTACAATTTAGTTTACTGGTTGTTTACCTATATGTTATACATATTGTGATTCATATAAGACCATAATAGAATGTAACTTGATCCATTTTCACTTTCAAAGTTGTTACCAAGGTGTTTCTAAGGCTGTCATGTCATAGATATCTATTAGAACGGTGCTAACGGGCTACCATCACAACAAGGTATTAATTTCGGACTTCAGGCATTACTGTCAACATACAAAAGACACATTTATAGTTCACTGTTTGTAAAATCCTCAGTATATTATATTCATTTGTCATTATAACAGAATGAAAAATAACTAATTAAGGCTAATTTTCTTCTCTATCAATTTTGGTATCTTTGAATATTAATTAATCTTAGGTATAAATTAATATCATTTCAGTTATGATATTTATAGCGTAACAATTAACAAAAGACGATAAATGCTGTAGAATTTATTTCAGAAGGAACGGGAAAATGTGCTATTTTTTCTATTGAATTTGTATATATTACCAATAAATAAATTCCATTATGTCATTTTTTCAATTGTGTTATTTGTTTTACATTGAGAAATTAAACGCTGACTTAAACTCAAAGTAAACATCATTTAAGGGTCATACAATATTGAATCTATTTCAGTTAATAAAGATAAATCTAAACTGAAAACTGTTTGTCATCTGAAATAGTGAAATAGTTCAGTATTAAAGTCTAAAAAACATTTCAGTGTTATTAAAGTACAAAACATTTGAAATTCTAAATTTGATCCGAAGTATACAGAAAACCATCACAGTGTTTATATACGATGTTAGTAATCTTTGTACATTCTCATGCTACTGTTATCGCTGGCAGGCAGTGTTGATCCAATTTTAGGTATAAATTTGAAAAATTACAGCGCAGCATATTTCTGTCGATCGAACGAAAGAATGTCCTTTTAGCTATTTACAGCAAACATGTGAACACCTGTTATCAAAACGTTCATTTACCCCAGGAAAAAAATTAGATATTAAAAAGTTAGAGAGGACGGTCCAAACCATAAATGTATTTTTATTCATTGTTAGCGATTTATTAGAAATAATTTATATATTAATTATCATTTATGAAATATGTATTCGACATATTATAAGGATGATATACAAATTGTTGACGTTTTGAATGCCTATTATTTTCCTTGTAAAATAAACAACATCGTTTGGTTGAGATGAAAAGGCATTTAGATAGACATGCTAATTGATATGTGACTGTAGGCGGTAAGGTCGACTTGTTTGTTATGTACGGAAGAACCTATGTATCAAATTGAAAGCTATGCATGATGAGGACAATCCATTGAAACGTAAATATACATTCTTTATTATTTTTCAATTACCAAGCCCTAACTTTTCATTTAAAGTCAATTATATTACGTACACTGACGTAAACTACATACCTGTTACATTGTAATTAGTGATTTAGACAACTATTGCAAAACCTAGAATGTATGATAATTAATAAATTCTAAAATGATAAGTATTTGGAAACACAACCAACGAATGACGTAGGACTTTTCTGTTTATTGCAAGACCGCTATCTTTGCCTTAGCTTACCATGTAAGAAGACCACGTGAAAACATCTCGAGGTTTATGGTGAAGATTATGTGTGAATGGCAGTAAATGAAGACAAGAGACAATACGTCAACACCCTTTAACTCGGAGTCGTGACAGCCGTATAGAATATTAATAAGATAAAGCATTACTATTTAATATTTATGAGCGATTCATCTGGGGAATGAATTGAACAATCTTAGACCCGTCGATATTAACATAGGTATTAGTTATATTAGACTATAGCAGTTATAAACATTCTTTCAACAACATGTCTTTGAATCTACATAAACTTTAAGGCGGAGTATTTGTGAAAGGTTTGGACGATATCAGTGTTCTCAAGCCGGATTTGGGTGAAAATGTCCATTCTTGATGTAATATCACATGCCTTGCTCTGGATTTTCATCAAACAATTAAGTAAGTATAAGGTATTATTTGACAGACATTAAGATAAGAAGCATTTACGTAATTTAATCAAGGAGATTATCACTTAAATTTATATTAAAATCTCCATGGGCTTGAACCATCAATTTGTTATTTCCATCAAATCGGCGGCTATATTTGTAAATTGATTTTATCAGAACTATCGATTAAAATGTTTCTAACACATCGTTAAAATCTCGTACGATAAACGCTAATTGATAATCTGAGTATACACTTGGAACACAAACTCATATTTAAACATTGATCCGTTCTTAACAAGTAAGATAAGTTGTTGATACATTTACATTTTTGCTTGTGTTAGGTTATATGAATAATTTTCGTTAACAGTTTTACACCATTGTAATGTTTAACATCAATATTGACAATGAAATTCTAAAAAATCTAAATAGTTATTAAATCAAGAAACACGCATCTTGTTTTTGTGTTTTACTCTTTAAAAACATCAAGAAGAAAATACCAACATGGCAACATAATCCAAATAAAACTAGGGCAAGATATAAAAAGAACCCCCCCCCCCGCAAAAAAAGAAAGATTTACAATGACATTCAAGAAAAATTACAAGGAGAATAAGACCAGGTGTTCCGGAAGAGTAAGCATCATCTGCTCCTTGGTCAATCCTAGAAAATAGTGTTAAGTTCTCAAATGAGAACAAGGTGTACAACAACGGAGCCAACAGGCAAACCAACGAGCATCAAAAACGTACAGTTTCATATTACACAAAGAAATAGCAGTGATTAAACAAGGCCTATCAATATGCAGGATAAAACATATACACTTACCACATCAATAGTAACTTATTATGATGATAAATAAGTTAACTGGTTACAAAGTGTTTATCAAATATAAACTGTTTTCATAGGATTTTACGGAGATCAAGTGCCTATCGCAAACAACATTTGACCTATTTATGTAAACTTATCACTTTTTCGTTTTATTTAACACAATTTCACACAGGTATCCTTAATGGATCGTGCCTGGTCCAGTTTTAAGAAAAAAAAACTTTGGCTGAAGGCAGGGGACATTCTAAGAATGAAGGAACTAGGTTTTGATTCTATCAAATTGATAAAAGTGCTTCAAAATGTTCCTTGCACTTTTTGCAGGAGTCTCCTTGTAAAACTTCCTTTGTTTCGCCCTGGTTTTACTTAAAATGGGTTTGGATTATGATTATGTTGACATGTTGCCATTTGTTTTGTTTTTTTTGTTTTTTTATTTTTGTTTGTTTGTTTTGTTTGTTTGTTTGGTTTTTTTTGTTTGTTGTTGTTTTGTTTTTGTTGATAACAAAGCATTTCGTGTTTTACATTTTCGTATTAAGAAAACAAATTTCCAGACACTATTACTATGATAATTTTATCTGTGGCTCTACATCAGAAATCTAAGCCATAAATAGATGATCGTGAGTCAGTTATGTGGTAATGTACGGGGATTGCATAACTTGTTTGTGTTCGTTTCAATAGCTTACCACAACAATTGAATTTCTGAATGCAAAACACATTGAGACATGCTTCTTTTAACAATTAACCATATGTTGTGTTCAACATATACACGTACATCTAGATACACTTGTATTGGGGTTGACAACATGGTTTGGCATGGACACATATGCTCAAAATGTGTTACAAACAGTTTCGATTCAATTCAGATTTTGAACATCTTGGTGTTGTCTTCAAACTTCTTCATTTTGTCTTCAGAATAATTCACCATTCTTCATCAACGTTCTAAAGGGGGTTTTCACTTTGATGGCGCATCTTATCAACGCTCTGTACGATAGCTGAATATGGATTCAGCATCTGCACAGAACTAATCACCTTTCAATGTATTGAAAACATATCTGCTACTCTATATACGGCATTTCCTTTGTCAGTTACTTATGTACTCAATGTTCTGAACCCGATACCACTATTTGTGGTCCTCACAGTCTTTTAACTTTATCAGATACATGGTAATTACGAAAGGTATTGAAGTTTGACGCTAGTACACCTCCCAATTTTTACATGTCCTTCGATCACGCTGGGCTTTCCTCAGTCATCTCCAAGGTGCATGTTTAGCATTGTTTACGAGTTCTGAAAATATATTTTGTGGCTCTGCTGTATGTTATTAATCTTTTATGAATAACATGAAGTACAATGTATTATTTGTTATGTCCGCTTGTTTCGATATCAATAACTTGGCCTCCATCGGCAAACCTAATCCTCTCACATTTGACATGTAAAGCATGGAACACCTTTTTATGTCAGCTGGTTCATTTCTGCACTTTTGTTGAAGTCTGCGTTACAATTTGTCTTCTATATTTCATCTTCATATTATTTTTTCGATTTGAGTTCAAGTTTTGTTTATATCATATTGTTTTCTTATTGTGCTTGCCGACGCAAGCGTCTGAAAGTCGTGAAGGTGACGCCATTGAATTAAGAAAACCTATGATATAACACATATCATTGTTAATATTTCTCGTTTTTCTATAAAGTTGTATTGAAATATTGTAAATAAGAACATCTCTTTTTAGTTTTGAGAAACTTTTTTTTTCAGGTCGAAAAGTATTCATAGAATATAATTCCAGATATCAAAAACCATTTCATTAACTGTATGCTTTTAATGAAGGTTACGGTGTTATTACCGAGACTTCCAACACAATTTCTTACTAGTCATGGTATAAAGATTTTTATATCTTTGTGTATTTATCAATTGGACAAAAACATTAAAATACAACATATGAACATTTCATACCAAGATTGACAACTGCTGATATGAAGAATTTTGTCATTATTACAGTATATAAAATGATTTCCTTTGTTGACAGTAGTGGTGTCTGCTCAGTTCGATTTTTTCAACAGACAACAATCATTTCGAAATGCTGTTAACCGTCGGACAACCACGTCTAAACGTACGTAAGGTATACATGTCTTCTCGATAAAGAGGTCTCACACTTCTGTATTTCGTTTTAATTATTTACATTTACAATTAAACAGGTTGATCCTACTATTAAATTAATTGCTTCAGATTTATCGTCTGCTAATAAGCTAATAATAGGTGATGTTATGAATTCAGATGGAGTCAGACAGAAACCTTTTAATCTTTGCTTATTCCATATAGTACTAGTTATTGTCATTTCTGTAAATACGGTATTGTTTTGTATGCATTGAAATATGTCTCTTTGCTGTCTGCATTTATAATTACAATTAAACAGGTTGATCCTACTGTTAAATTTAGTACTAGTTATTGTCATCTCTGTAAATACGGTATTGTTTTGTATGCATTGAAATATGTCTCTTTGCTGTCTACATTTATAATTACAATTAAACAGGTTGATCCTACTGTTAAATCTAGTATTAGTTATTGTCATCTCAGAAAATACGGTATTGTTTTGTTTGCATTGAAATTTGTCTCTTCGCTGTCTACCGTTGTTTCACAGTTTGATTTTACCTATATGCATATATTGATTTTTCATCGTGTAGCTTGTGATCTGCATGCTGACCCAAATAATAGGAGAGTATTTCTTATGAATGTAAACGGGGAAATGCGTGAGCGACCTTGCGCGTTTGGGACTCTTTACAGTCAAAGAACGTGTGATTGTTCAGATTATGACCCCGACGCAAATCTCAATGGCCGTCGTACGTATATTTAAGCATCTGTTTCACCAGCATTTCAATATTATTAATTTAAATCGGCAGAAAAAACAAAAGCATGAATAAGAGAAGTTAATTTTTTAATTCCATTAAATTTCAATTAAATTCAACAAATGATAGCTTGCTTATTCATACAACGCTTCCTTGGTATGTAGTTTTCATTATAAATAACATACTTTTCAAAGTATCGATGTCTGTATTGTATATTTTTGGATGATATCATGCGATATATTTTGTCTGACTTTTTCACAAGTCTCTCATTTTATCTGCAGGTTGTCGTGCACCACTTTACATACCGTTCAATACAGAGCCAATTAAGGATCATGGTGGTACGAATATTGCGATGGGAAACAACGGCAGAGTTAGAGTATTTGATAATGTCGGGAATTTCAATGGTAATGGAGCGGTTACAATATGGATGTACTCTGGTATAGATTTTGGTGAGCACCTCGGTATTACTTTAAATTTCCGAGACATAATAACTGGAGGAAATTCAGAGCAAGTATTGGTTTCCAATTGCTTTTACAACAGTATCGGAAGCGTGGAAATTGTCATACAGCCCGCTAATCAGTTGGTTGTGTTCAGAGTAACCACAGACAAACCCTCATCGGCAGAGTTATCGATTCCATATAAGGTAAAACATCAAATAAAATATCGTGTAAGATTTAATGCGTTTGAATAAGATCCAATAGGAAGTTGTGTGGCGTTTTATGTGCCCTACAATAGTCTGTCATTTATAATAACCATAAATGACTTAAAATATTTCAAAGGTTAACTTTTACATTCCCTACACGTGTTCTGTCACAGGCAGACTATAGCTCAATTTGATCTAAAAGAAATTATTCACTGCCTGTTGTGTCATCCTTCGATGTGAAAATCCATTTTGATGTTTTATGATGATGACAGTCGTAGATTCTATGACAACAATAATGAAACCATACTGTAGTATTTAGAAATTTAATATTAATATGTCTATACCTGACCGATTCCCATTTCCGGCAGTATAACCAATACAATATTTATTAACAAGAATCTATTCATAGAACTGATATCTGATTTCAGCGACAGTCGTGGACCACTGTGGCCTACACTTATAACGGGAATACACTTATTGGAAAAGTTAACAACCAGGTCAAATCAAGTAATATAACAGGTAAGAACTCCACTGATGTAATTAATTGTGTAGTTATGTGATGAATAAAGACGTAATAAAAACATTTAATGCATTGTTCTCGCTCAGGACTTGAATAAGCATAATTATTTTCATGTAAACATAACTTTAAAATTCCGTATCAGTTTCACGTGTGCACTGTGAAAATGATTTTTTCTCGTAATAGAAAAAATGTCGTTTTAACGTTGCTTCTGCAGCTTAATTTAAAAACTGCAGATATGTAGTTTAGATACATGTAGAGATTGTCCTTGTTCAGAAATCACATATTTATATCTTTCGCAGGTAAAATCGCAGTCAGCCCTGGGAGCCTACGTATAGGATTGTGTAATGGTCGAGGTTTTGTTGGAAATATTGACGAAGTAAGTGTTTAAAATGAGGAAATATTTTAAGTTTTGTTGAATATATTTTCCAAATGAATTAAAACTTGTAAAATACGCATGTTGTGCAATATTGGAATCATGAGAATAATGTTCGCATTTTCAGAAACGACAAATCATAAAAAACAACACCTTTGAGAAAAGAAATGTTTTCTTGACATAAACTCATATAGATCAGTTATTGATGACTAGTTATATATAATGCTTAGATTAACTGATTGTGGAATCTGTGGCGGAATCCATGGCACGCAGAGGTGAAATTAACTAAAACATATTTTACAAAACGACACATGAATGGATATAGCCTTTTTAATACAAACGTGGAAGAATTAGACGTAGTACAGCCAAACAATGAAATATACAGCATCATACAGCGGTTCATTTTGGGATTAGTCAATGAAGCTTAGGTCCGAAATATGTAATCACGATGAATACGACTACTGAAATATAACTTTTGTTTTCATTTTGTTTCAGTTTCGGTTATGCCAACCCATTTTGGCAACTCTTAACGATAGTTGAAAGAAGCTGTTTGCAAATATGGAGGAGTCATTGTACATAACTTGAAGTGTTACGTTACGAAAATCGCAGGATAGACAATGAGTAACACCATAATGTTGTAAATAATGTCATGGAAATATTATTTATATAATGTGTAAACTTGTATAAACTGCTATTGTCATACGGTTTGTGATGTCCCTATTAGATAAGAACAGACGATTTGCCATATTGAGTTTGAACAAGAGTAACATTTGGATTCAACTTTTACTTTGAATTCACAAGATTGTGAAGTACATAAAGAGACAGAGGTATTCAAGATGACAAGGCAAAGTATTGTCTTTTTCAAGGAATTTTCATTTTCGTTTGCAAATACGAACAATGTAATGATTTGATAAGAAATTGTTAGATGAGGTGATTGAAATTCTGACAGTAAGTTTCAGGTCCAGTTAACCATCACCAAAACATGTTTTATTAAACAGAAATAATTTTGAAATGATCAATATTATACAAGTAATTTATTAAAAACATTTATATACAAACTGTTATGAAAACATTCTGCAACGAAGCATTTTGATGTTTAAAATAGGTTTTATTTTCTTTCGAAACATGTCAGTGTTATAGTCTGCGACATATTGTATGCAGCAAATCTTCATTACTGAAATGAGGTGCAGATTGGATTTCATTTCGTCCATGTTCATTTCAAAGGCAAATTTAATTACAAATAATATAAAGGAAATGGTAGCAAATGAATGACGACATGACAAAAATGTAAACAACAATGTGAGTAATATATGTGGGAGCTAGGTAAACGTTATACTGTGCATCGAAATATTGTATGTTCGTATGCATTCCACAAATACGCTATTCTATACAATATGAAAAAAATATTATTCAACAAAAGAAGTCTTGTAATAATTCATTGTTGACTTAATATATGGCACTTGTGGTCATCACAACGAAGTGAGCATCGCACTTGTAACAAGTATATGATACTGACACTTCGTTACATACATTATACAGCAAGTCACAGAATAAGACCATAGTTCAGAGTGTAGCTACAAAATCCTATTCTGATTTAAGCTGTTTTGTTAATTAAACAATGAGATTTGCTGATCCGGAATACAGTCGTAGACATTCAGCTGAAACAAAAAGAAAATCATCTTATGTGTTGTACTAATTTGAACTTTTCAGTCCGAACATCATGCTGAAACGCTCATATGGATGGTATCGGATATTGGTTTATTCTATGTTATTGTCTAAATAATGCTTTTTGTAACCTCTGACCAAAGAATGTGAACATGACTTAATTATGGTACTCGGCACAGTACATTTATATGCAGCTTAACCTCATTACCTCGAATTCATATAATTTGATGACCCCGTTTAATTCGAGGTATTTTGTTGATCCCGGGAATACTTTACACTCAACATTCGATTTTCCTTAAAACGAATACTCGATAGCTTGAATTTTTTCCCGCTGACTTCGAGATAATGAGGTTTGATATTACTCAATGCTATTATTTACCTCATCAATTTCTCCATAAAATCCTTGATTGGAACCAAGTATGTAATTATTTTGACATCCGTGTAGGGACCCTGTTGCTGGAACTGTAAAGAAAACATTTCCATGATTTAAGATATCATCTTACTAGAATATGTTAAGGTCATTTAGACATTTAACTGCGATGACGTAAGGGGGATTGTTACAGTTTACGAAATAGGGCACTCGTTTCTCATTAGCATTTATAGTAATCAGACATAATTAGACACAGGAAAGCAATAAACATGAAAAATGTCATCACAGTATCAGATGTCTCCGTACACATAGTTACATGACTTAAAACTAGACCAAGAACATGATCTCATGTTACTGTTTATTAATTGGAAATACAAAATGTTTTGTTACTGAAATATCACTGTTGTAGAATAATTGACACATGACTTAACGATGGAGGAAATTGTGAAATAAATAAATAATCCAAAATATTTATTTTAAAGATAATCACATCTTATCAAATACAACAACATAAGAACACATCACAATAATGTCCTCAATGAAAACTGTGTATAGGTGAGTGTTAGTACCTTGTGTTGTGGAAACACCCGTACTGAGTACGATCTTCTGACCATTGTAGGCGACAAGCACATTGTTCCACGAGTCGAACTGCCAAAATATATGGTTTAATTGCTCAAGTTAATTTTGTCTTCAATGTGTAGGGTAGCTTTTTCGATTCATTTTAGAAATAATGCATTCGTTGTTCTAATATATATCCCGATAAATGGACAGTTATTAACTTACTGTTAATGATGAACACTAAAATAGAAATATGTATTTTGCACATGTGTACAATAACGTAGGTCAAAGTACAAAATTAATCCTAACTTGATATACTTTGATTAGCATAATTGTATTTGATTCTCGTCGTTTAACTGCGGTGGTTTGTGGTTATATATTTTATTCTCTTTACAATACAGTATAATTTATAGTCATTAATATCATTCTACATCAGACAGGCAAATTCGACAAACATGCAACTGCTATTTTCCTGGGTTTAAGCCAACAGTTACATATATGACGATACAAAACATAACTCTATTTAGCAATTTTTAACTGTCTACTGTCGCAGTAATTATATCTACGGACACTAACATGTAGAGTATCTAACAAAAAGACACAACTTGTTTCGATAGCAATGTAAAATGGAAATTTAATTGTTCCACTTACAGCTATTTAAACCTTTAATGCTTACCTGTAATTTAGATGTCAATGTGACTGTGTCATCTACTAACTTCACGAAAACAGTTAGTTGATCGTTTATCAAACGGAAAACCAACGCAGCTTTGTCTAGTTCTGGACAACTGCTCAACATAACCACGTCCTGGTTTGAATTGGACAGACTAATTACAACTTGGACGAGGAAGGTATTTGTTAGGGGTGACGGCTGTGGCATTGTCAGAGTTCCAAGGCCGAAGAAATAAGCAATTCCGCCATGCAATCGGACATTGTTCAGTATCATATTTGTTTTCATCATGTTCGATAGCACAGGCTGACAAGCTAAGACACACATAAAAACACATGGTTAGTAGGTCATTTATGTAACATTGTATATCTAAATTATAGAAGGCATACGTAAAAAATTGTATTATGTTGTTAAAGATATTTGACACTTTTAAATAGGTAACAATAAAAATGAATAACTGAATGATTCCTATTTAATTACCTCCGGTGATGTAGTTCTTGCTACAGGTGCACGTGTTGTGTTCATACTTTTTCCCGATAGGACATGATGTCAGTTTACCATTGTCGCCAATCGTACGGTCAACATACATCGTACTGTCAGTAAAAGGAAGATTGTAACAGGGCGTAGGTTGTGCTGCAAATTGAAATTAAAGAGTGAATGCTGCCTTACATATCAGAAATATCCAAGAAATTCAAGCATTTGCTGTGGAAATTATTTTCTTTTTCATCTGTTATATTAGTTTGATAAAAGAATATCAAAATACAGAACTAGAAAGCAAATGGAATCACAATGAATTAATATACCTATACGAATAGAACAGCTGCCCTGGAAATCTTGAACGCAGGAACCATCCGATTGAAACTTCTTTCCATAGGCGCAATATCTAAGTCGCGACTTTCCATTTTTGCATTGATAGAAATGTCTACAACTTTCGATATTCCAAAAAGCAAACAGCGATTTTTGTCTACATAAATCTGCAATAATAAGATGGTATATGAAAATGATATCCTGTTATTCAGAAAAATGACAGCTACTACAGAGGCTCGCTTCAAAACTAAGTCGGATTTGGTTTTGAAAGATTGTCATGGTGTGTTGGGTCTCTTAGTCTATTCTACGGTTATATAGTCGACTTGTACGTTGAAAGTTAATCTGTATTACTCATAAATGATTACAGTCACTTTATATTTGGTATACATATTACATTTACACTATCATAACATTAGAGTAAAATCCATTATTGAGCACATAAAATACCTCCACTCAGGATTTAAAAATGTTTAAAGCATCCTTTACATATTATTGCAATAGAATTACTATATGCCAAGATGTGTATTTACAAAGCTACTTCTTAAACTATAGGATATAAAAAACCCTACATACGTTTGTAAACCACGAAGCAATCGAGAAAAATTGAAATCGATAGCAAGAAATACAACCACTACCTCCACCCCTCCTCACTCCCCCCCCTCCCCCCCCTCCGCCTCCATCTTACCATATTTTGTAATATTTAGATATATCTTAGCCAACCCCTCTCCCTGTCCCCCTCAAAAAACGACATTTTCAACTAAGCATCCTGTTTGTGACATTATAAGGCGACAAAGCTATACCCAAACCATTGTACCAATAAAGACAAATAAGAAGCACACAAATTACCGGCTGCGCACTTGGCAAGGTGAGAAGTAATACAACGTTTCTGTTGAGCATCCCAGAAATGGCCTACGGGGCATTCCTCTTCTTTGACTGTGTACGTGTACCCTGGGTTGATGTAGCCCTCTCTACGGCAGACGATGAACTTTGAGCAGTTGGTAGGATGATAAGTATATCCGTAATTATCAGTCAAATCCTCAGATTTAAAACAGTTGTCGATACATTCAGCTGTTAAGTTCACCACTGAAAGACGATGGTACACATATATGGAAAACGCAAAAATGTCAATAGAATCATAATCTGAACTCAAAATTAATAACATATAGGAATATATGAAAGGAAGAGTAGAGATTAACATGGAGACTCGAGAAAATCAATAATACCAGGTGTTTCGAAAAAGTGAGTTTATTCTACCTTATCGACGACACGCGCCACATATTCCTTTGTCAATATAAGTAAATAATGTCACGTTCCCAAGTAAGAACAAGGGAAACAACAATGGAACAAAACAGGTATACTGACAAGCTTTTAGGAAAAATACAACCAAATTGAAATGCATGTCAATGTGAGACGTGTTACTAATATAAAGATTTATTCAAATGCGATTTTTACACTAAGTTTATAGGTGTTTAT